GTGGGGGGGGGGTGGGGAAGATGCAGAGGGTGCGGGGAGCAAGGCCCACCTAACTCCCAAGCCCAGCCCCTTCCTCTTGGCCCCTCCCCCAAGGCCCACGGCCTGGCACTGGATTGCTGCAGGGACCCACCAGCTGCCTCTCAGGGGCTCCTGCTCAGAGCCTCCCTTCCCCGTGTCCCCCATTCACAGGGGTCTGGCTGCCAGGCGGCTGTCCTAGGGCCTTGAGGCCATTGGGAGAGGCTGCGGTCCAGTGCTTGGGGGTGCGGCCTCCAGCCAGGCTTGACATTCTGCCTCAGGTGCTCCCTCGCTGTGTGGCCTGGGGGTTTCCTCACCAGGAAAATGGGGAGCCAGTGTACCTGCTGGCAGAGCTGTCGTCTCCGCACCCTACACGCCCCCAGAGCACCAGGAGGAAACAACACCTAGGAGAGACCTGGGCTCTGCGGGCGCGCTGACCTGGGGCCCTGCCTCTCCCAGGGACTCTTTGTGCAGCTGGTGCAGGTCAACACCCCTGCATCCCTGGTGGGGCTGCGCTTTGGGGACCAGATCCTGCAGATTGACGGGCGCGACTGTGCCGGGTGGAGCACCGACAGAGCGCACCGGGCAGTGAAGAGGGCTCCAGCAGAGAAGATCGTCATGGTGGTTCGGGACCGGTGAGTGCCAGCGGCCGGAGCTCCTCTGTCCGCCCGCAGCCCCGGCCGAGCCCAGCTCACTGTCCCTCTCCGGCCCGGGCCCAGCTCACTGTCCCTGTCCGGCCCGGGCCCAGCTCACTGTCCCCGTCCGGCCCGGCCCAGCTCACTGTCCCTCTCCGCAGGCCTTTCCAGCGGACGGTCACCATGCACAGGGACAGCACCGGCCACGTGGGCTTCGTCATCAAGAAGGGGAAGGTGGTCTCTGTGGTCAAAGGGAGTTCTGCGGCCCGCAATGGGCTGCTCACCAACCACTATGTGTGTGAAGTGAATGGGCAGAATGTCATCGGGCTGAAGGTAGGCCAGCGGCCGGCTCTGCCCCAGAGCTACAAGGGCAGGAGGCTGCCGGGTGGTGGGAGGGCCCATGTCTGTGGGCACCATCCGAGCTCGTTTCTTCATCCTAAGGTTGCTGCGAGGAGTCGATAAGACAGTCAGTACATAGAACTTTGGGCACGTGGTCAGTGCTCAATAAATATTAGCTATTGATACCAACACATGGAGGTCAAAGGTGTGACAGAAAGAGGGGGTGTGGTGACATGTGAAAGGCCACAGGTGCCCAGGTGGCTACGGGCTGCACGAATACCTAACCTACTTGTGTGGTACTTCTGTTTGCATCCTAGACCACGTGACAGGGATGTTTCTGAAAACAGTTCTTCAGAAATCCATTTCTGACCTCTGTTCACTTTTTGAGGGGATTTGTGTAGCGACTTTTATTTTTGAAAAATATAAGTGGTCTCAAGTCAGTGCTAGGGGCATGGACCGAAGGTGGGTGCCTTCAGGGAATGGACCACAGAGGATGCAGAGTCACATGGCTTTTGGTCCCTGAACAAGTGAAAGTAATGTTATCCTAACCTGATGCTGCTCCCTGGGTCAGAGTGGTTCTCATCGCAGGTGTGATTTAGAGGAGGCCCTTCCCCTCCTGCAGCCAGAGCTCTGGGCTCACAAGGCAGGTCCCCCTGCAGAATGGCCTGGGTGGCGGCATTCATTCTCCACTCCTCACAAGGACCAGCACCAAGCCTTCCTGTCACATCTGCTTCCCTGTGCCTGGTAGTCTCCCCGCCTTCCCTGGAGGCGGGTTCTGTGATCAGGAAGTGCTTCCTAATGTCTGTCCTAGGTCCTTCCTGCTGCATCTCTCCCCTCAGGGATCAGGCGTGACGATCTGAAGGGAACCCCCATACCTGAAAAGCTGGCACACTGGTACCAATTCTGAGTAGCCGGCTCTTTCGGATATGAATGCATCCGTCCTTTGAGAGCGTTACTGCTCATGGATCCTGAGAGCAGTCATTCTGCAGGTGCTGCCCGTCCCCTCCTTTCGGACGGCTCACGGCTGCGTACGGGCTTACCCGTTACCCTGCCAAGCTGCAGCGTGTGAGGCTTCTAGGCCTGGGCTGGCCCCTTGACAAGTGGCCACAGAGAGCTATGCTGCTTGAGATGATCTCTTCACAGTTCATCTGCTTTTACTCCGGCCATCACTAGTCCTATCCAGCACGTCTTCTCCCCTTTATCCTGGAACAACCAGACAACAGAAACGGAGCTAGAGTGAAGTCAAGACCTCTAGTCTCCGGACGGGCCAGGGCTCTGCTGCCATCGCTCTAGCTATTGGGGTGCTGGGCACACTTTGCATGGAGACTTTATGTGTTGTGTCCCCAGGATCTCATCGGCTTCTGCAGGCCTTTCCTCTTCACTGAGTGAGACGTACGAGGAAGCGGCCGCTGTGGGCAGCTCAGGCTGGCTGGCACCTAATGCCCCCCACTGCATGGCTGTTTCCTTCCTGCTTTGGGGCCCAGGGAGATGGGATAGGAGATGTGGCTGGTGAGATGCGGGGCCTCTGTGGGTGAGGGAAGGAGCGTAGTTGTTTGTAAGGCCCTGTTCTGTCAGGCCCAGGTGACTGGCCCTCGAGGCGAGGGTGGGGAGCGGCCCATTCAGTGAGGGGAGCCTCAGGGGAGGTCCACGTGTCCGTTCTCCAGTCAAGCAGGGCCTCACCAGGTGTCTGCCTGCGACTCTCCCCTGAGGGCAGCCCTCCCCCTGAAGTCGGGTGCTAGTGGCTCCCTAGCAGAGACCACGCTGACCCAGCCATAGCGTTGCCTGCAGAGTTACCCCTGGCCCGGGGTGACCGCTCGCTCCCCTCCTCTCTAGGACAAACAGGTCATGGAGATTCTGGCCACGGCCGGGAGCGTCATCACCCTGACCATCATCCCCACCGTGATCTACGAGCACATGGTCAAAAAGTAAGGCTCTCCCTCGCTTCTTCCCTCCCGGCCCCACTCCCCTCTGCCCGCCTCCTCAGAGCTCACAGTGCACAGCCAGCTGCCTGCCCCAATCCCCCCCCACCCCCTTCAGCATGGCTGGTGGCTGGAAATCTTAGAGAGAAAAGTGGAGGCCCGCGTGGGAGGCACAGACCGCGGGAGGAGGGAAGGCACTGCCCGTTGTGGCCACTGTCGTCGTTGCTGTATCTAGGTTGTCCCCGACCCTGCTCCGCCACACCATGGACCACTCCGTCCCAGATGTCTGACGTCACGGGCAGCTCCGCCCTCCCTCCTCCTGCAGGACCGCAGAGGCCTCAGGTTTCGGAGACCTGCTGCCTGGAGCCCGGATGTCCTGACGGGTGCGCTCGGCCGGGGTGTGTGTGTGTGTGTGTGTGTGTGTGTGTGTGCCCGCAGAGCACCCCGTCTACATGTGGAGCACAGCCTCCTCAGAGCCTGACTTGCCTGGACTACGGCGGCCAGGCCATGGGCAGCAGCTTGCGTGGGTTTGTGTCGCGGCAGCCGGCTCAGGGCCTCCGGAAGGGGCAGCTGGGTCCCTTTCGAGACGTCACCTCTACCAGAAGGACAGTCCACATTGAGAGAACAGAAGCACATTCCTTGTGAGAATTTTCCCCTTTACTTGATCTTTGACACACACTGTCCATGGGTAGAACTCCTCACTTATCTTCTGAATAAAGCTTTGATTTTAAATAAAATTCCTTCCTCCAAAGTCATTGAAAAGTCCAGGATTTCAGTCCCAGGACATGCCGGGCTGGTTTTCTTTCAAGCAATCGTGAGACCAAGGCCTTGCCTGTGCATTGCCTCTGAGAGGCGTTAGTGCTCTGACCCGTCGCAGGCTGCCTGCCGTCGGAGGAGGGACAGCTAGTGGGGGACCGCGTGGGCCCTGGAAGAGGGGACCAGCTTCGGACACGCCTCTCTCCGGCCAGGCTGCTGTGCACGTGCAGAACGGGTGTGAGAACTGGTGAGGGGAGGAGGAATGGATGCGCTCAGGGTCTGACACCGAGGGAGGTGCTTCTAGATGCTTTGTCGCTGCACAGCGGAGCAGAACCACCCACAGCTCGTGTTCCCCTGACCTGGAGAAGACCCCTGCCAGGCGGCACGCTCTGCCTCCCACGCGGGTGGGGACAGCTTGAGCCCCCTTAACCCCCCACCTCAGAAAAAAGGCATCAAGAAACAGGCCGAGTGCCGTGTGTGTTTTCATGCTTTAATTCAGAGTCGTCTGCTGCAGGTACAACTCTGTCTGAAAAGGACGAAGGAGACCAAAGTGAATGCCCCTCCCACCTCCCCCCTTCCCGGGCCCCTGAATTTGTCAAGGGGATGGCCGAGTGTGAGTGTGCACTGTGCCTGGGGTGCACTGTGCCCCAGGTCAGAGAGGGGATCATGAGGTCACTGGGCAAAGGCCCCTCCGTAGACCTTTGCCCCGAACCATGTCCTTTCCCGCCCCTCTCTAGGCCGTCAGCTCCCTGTGCGGCAGCCGGCTAGCTGAGCGAGTGGCGACTGGGAAGGTGTTCAGTGAAGAGCGAGGTCATCCCCTTGGGAGACAGGCAGTAAACTCCGCCCGGCCAGCTCTGTGTGCGGAGTCCGGCCCGACTCTGATTCCGGCCTGAGCCTGGACGAGAGGAGCAGCAGGGCCGCTCTGGCCCGGACCCTACAATGAAGAAGCCACTTTTCCCTGCTGGGCTCCACGGGGCCAGCGTGTCCAGAAAGTGACTCCTGGAAACACTGTCCCTTGGACCTAACCATCCGCCCTGGCAGAGGCTGGCGAAAGGGGGGCCCACGGATTTCTGCTCCAGAAGCGGAGGGCAGGTGGGAAAGGTCACAGCCCAACGGGAGGAGGCGTTAAGCAGACACGTGCAGAATGAGCACTCAACAGCCCCACATCCTGTGCCCTGTGTAGTCAGGGGGGCAGGCCCCACCTCCACCGCCAGCAGCCGCACAGGGAGCGCTGCACCTTTTGCATAGATGCGGACACTGAGGACACACACGCACACACGCAGGAGCCCTGCGGGGCCACTGACCAACAGGGTCCCCCGGGCTGTCTCAGGGCTGCCGGCAAGCTGCCTCCTACACTAACACAAAGAAACACCAGTCCAAGGCCCCACCAGACCCCTCCCTCCCAAGAGAGAGGACCCTCAATGCTGAGAGCAGGGCCCCTGGGACACAGACAGGCTAGTCTCAGGCCAGAGGAGGCACAGAGGGTGGCGGCTGGACCCACTCACCTCACCCAGAGGCCTTGGGTCCGAGCCCGGCCAGCCCTTCGCCAGTGGCTTCTCCGACAGCAGACAGTGTTGACTGTGGCCCCAGCCCTGACCACATCCACCAAAACATAAGACACAACAGGAAGGCCACAGACAGCAAGACACAGACAAGAGCAGAGGGGCTACGCAGCGCCACTCAATTCCAGTGGTGAAAAATATATAGATTTTGAGTTGTCAAATAGAGTCATATGTTTATTTCCTCAGCAAAGCGTTGCCTGTTTCTAAGGAGACACTATGCGGCCCATGAGTACACGGCTCAGGAGGCTGGGTCCCGGCCAGTCCCGGCCTGGCTTTGGATTGGGCTTGTCCTGCCCCCAGGCCACGGCCCCCGCGTCCCTGGGCAGCCCTGGCCAGGCCCCAGGAGCTCGGGTTCAGTTCGGCTGGGGTGGGAGGTGCTCCACAAAGGAAGGCCGGCCTGAGGCCCAGACCAAGGAGGGGGAGCTTTGGAGGCACAAAGCGCGTGGCAGAGGGGGCTGTTGCCCCAATGGCTGGGCCGGCTGCCCACTCCCAGTGCATGCAGGTGCTGCCCCCCATGAGGGGAGGGCGCAGAAAGCAAGGGCAGAGCCCGTGAGTCAGGCAACGGCTTCCGGAGCAGCAGGGGTGGGCAAGCAACCTTGGCAGAGAACCAGAGTGTCCCACAGGCCAGAGGGGTGAGTAGGACACAGGGTCCCACCAACCCCCTCAGTGTGGGGCCTAACTCTGAAGAGTGGGTGGGACAACCAGATGGGTGTAAGCCCTGAAGGGAAAAATGACCGGGATTACTTTGTAAAATAATCTATACATATAAAAGGCTAAGTGACCATCCGACCATCTGGCCAGTAGCTATGATGCGCACTGACCACTGGGGGCAGACGCTCAATGTAGGAGCTGCTGAGCTGTGGTGACTTGGCAGCAGTGGTTCTCGGGTGATGCACCCTGGAACCAGAGAGGAGGGAGCCTGATTCCAGGGTGCATCACCCGAGAACTGCCCTCTCGCAATCCGGGACCCCTCGGGGAATGTCAGAGAGGCAGTTTTGGCCTGATCCCCGCAGGCTGTGGCCAGCCGGGGAGGGACCACGGGAGGTTGGCTCCAGGGCGTGTCTGGCCTGTCTCGCCCAGTCCGGCCCCACCGGCCACCTTCTAATTAATTTCCCTTCAATGTGCATGAATCCGTGTACCGGGGCACTAGTAATGGTAATAAAAGGTCAGCAGCGTTTCTGGGGGCCCTGATGTGGTCCTGGGGATGGAGGGAGGACAGTGAGCCTTCCCAGGCTGGGCTCGGGCCGGGAGCAGCGTGTCTGCGGGCTCCCCCCCCCCCCCCCCCC